CTATCCATTTTAAGCTTTTGATTATGGCCCACAATAAGTAATGTATTTTAGGGGCGCCTGGGTGTCTCAGTCAGTTGAGCGTCCAACTCTTGGTTTCAGCTCAGGTCATGATCTCAGAGTCATGAGATTGAGCCCTGTGTCATGCTCAGTGGGGAGTCTGTTTGAGATTCTCTCTCTCTCCCTCTCTCTCTGCCCCCCCACCACCATGTGCTTTCTCTCTCTCTCTCAAAATAAATAAATAAATCTTAAAAAAAGAAATGTATTTTCCATCATGACTAGTACACATGTATGTGTTGTTATTGAAATAATACATATTAGTATACGTTATATAATAATAATACATATTATTATATTATTGAAATAAATGTTTTACCCCAAACAACCATTTCTACATGTGATATTTTATTTTATTTCATTCTGTTTCTTAAAAATATTCTAGTCACAATCTTCTTAATCATGACACACTAATGGTTTGTGATCCCTAGTTTGTAAATAATTGGTCTGTTTGACATTGAAGTTACCCAGGATGATAGCAAGACTTGGCATAGAGTGGAAGACTAGAAGTTTGGTGCCAAAGTCTTCTGTGAATAAGGAGGGCCTAAAACATAGCTTCATGCATTTATCTTCATGAATGGCCTGTCATTTCAGGACAATCTATTAAGTAAAGGTCCAAACTATCATTTCTGGTGTAAACAGGATAATTCATGGATTGCTGATTTTTTCCAATGGTCTCTAGCTGGCATGGGTTTTTTGCTTTGATTTATTCACTGCCACTGACCATTCCACTCCATTTTTCTGTGATAGGGAAGAACCAAGTAAACTGCCCTTCCTCATATTCCTAGATCCCCACATCTGATGTAGGAAAGAGGAAGAGAGGAGGGAAAGCTTGGCAACAGGTGACCGTGGCCTCCAGACCCTGTGGTGCTTCCAAAGGCTCCAGCTGTTTGACAGCTGCAAGAATACCCTAGAGGGAGAGACAACGTCCACAGGAGATGGTGGGGTGCAGTTTAGGCTCCAGGCTGGACCCTGGGGTTAGGTCTTGCCAAGAGAAGAAAGTAGAGTCCAGGGAACAATGATGATCAAGAGTCAGGCCTCCCACTGAGGGTCTGTGATGAGAGAGGAGAACAGGGGCAACTTGATGTCATGATGGTCTGAGAAGACCATAGGATTTCACTCTTGTCTCCCTGGGTCACCACACGCCCAGCTATTTCTGTTAAACATTGACACAAATGTCAGGAGAGCTTTACCCTTATTAATTAGCTAATCTCTGTGGTATTCCCACAGGATGAGGTCAGAAAGATTGCCATCTTGCTAGCAATGAAAAAATAAGCAGGGGTGAGGAGGGCAATCATAGAAACTTCATAAGTTCATCAAATATTTGCTGAGCAACCACTGTGTCCATGTGATGCATTAACTGTTGAAGATATGATGTGAATAAGACACAGTCTCTCCTTTTTAATGTTGACCTAAAATCTGGGGGTGGGGATGATCAGACCAAGCATTTTAAGTTAAGGGCATGGAGTTTGCAAAGGTCCAGTGATGAGAAAGAAAATTCAGAAAAATGGAATTGAGATTGCTCATATTAGGAGAGGACAGCTAGGCTGGGAACGATCTTGCCAAGATTTTGATGAAGTCGATTTGGACAATGGGAATCACAGAGAATCCTCACAGATGCCTCAATACTTAGGCTGCATTTTATCTTTGTAACTTAACAAGGTCAGTGGAATGGGAATTTACTTATCCTAATCCTTCTATCTTTTTTTTTTAAAGATTTTATTTATATATTTGTCAGAGAGAGAGTGCAAGCACGAGCAGGGAGAGGGGCAAGCAGAGGGAGAAGCAGGCTCCCCACCAAGCAGGGAGCTTGATGCGGGACTCCATCCCAGGACCCTGGGATCATGACCTGAGCCGAAGGCAGACGCTTAACTGACTGAGCCACCCAGGCATCCTGTAATTTCTCTATCCTTACCCCTCATCCCCTTTCCTTGATAAAGGAACTGGGGATCAGAGAGTAAGTAACTTGTTCTGTGTTACCCAGAAAGAGAACTCAGATGTTCTGACCCAGGCTACAGCTCTCTCCACACTCCAGGACACTTTTTCTGATCCAGACTCTATTCTCCAAACAATTTCCTGCATAGCACTTTGGGTTCTGGCTCTGTTAGGATGAACTGCCCCAGCTAGAAAAAAGGACACGTCGAGCCTCACATATATTGGTCCTCAGAGGCAGCACTGTATGCCACATGCATGAGTCTGATGGACAATGAGAACTCAGTCGTCTCTTTCGTTTATTGCACATCACACAGTTTGGAAATGGTGCCAGAAGCCAACATTCTCCTGATTGAGGAAGAAAGGGAATGTTGACATCCAAGAAAACAAGATGTTCTCTTCTTGGTAATCCAGAAAGACACTAGTGTCTACTTAGCCCAATGAATACTGAAGGGAGCCTTAGAGTAGAGGGTGGCAAGATGTGGGGGTGATGACTGGGTGGGGATGGGGGAAGGACGAGGGAGGGCTTGAGAGAGTAGGTGGAGAATTTTCTAGGAAATGGGTGTGTTCGTTAATAAGACAGGTGGTTGGCCCATAAAACAGATCATGGCCTTACTTTATTTTACCTCACTGGTGGAGACCTGGTTACTTATTAGGCCAAAGGATCCTGGCCATTTATTAATTCAACAAATGATCACCACCACTTCACTGGGTTAGATGTTGGAAATAAAGAAATAAAATACACAGCTCTTTACCCTGAGGGAGTTAATAGTTTAGTGGGGGACTAATTTAAGTAAACAGTGAGCTAGAGCACAGCTAAGTATAGGATGCTACAGGAACACAGATAGGGGGGCACTTAATCTCCCTAAGGGAGGTGAAAAGGGATTCAGGAGAACCTCCTCAGAGGAGATGATAATTGAGCTGAACTCTGGAGGGTTAGTTCAGTCCAGGAAGTAGGAAAGGGCTCCCAAGAAGAGGGACTAATTTGCTCAAAGTCCCAGTTGTGGAGAGAGCAGGGTTGGTCAGGAAAATGGCCAAGGGCTTTATGCCTGGAGCTGTGGGTATGAGAAATAAGGCTGGGAAAGTAGGTAGGGACCTATCTTGAAGGTGCTGGGCAAGCACTTCTGGTAGAGGGGATGAGTCCACGCTCCTCAAAAGAGTCTTATGGGCTGGGCCACCAATGGGCGATCAGTGGCTACAGCTCTCAGTCACAGCTGCATCCTCTCTGAGCCTAGGTGCGGGAGTGAGCGGCGCAGTCGTACCGGTGGAAGGGAAAGTGAGAAAAAGGCAGGTGGGCAGAGGTTCTCAGCTATGGCATTCTTGGAGAGATGAGAGAATCAAGGATTCTGTCCACATACTTTGAGACTACCATGCTAAAGTCAAGAATTTCTTCACTGGTTCTTGAAAATGGGCAATTGCTGCGTGGGGCAGGGTGTGGCAGCTGTTTGCAGCTGTATGCCAGTTGTGTTTAGTGTGGGAACTAAAGGGCAATACTATTCCAAATGCAATGACTCTATAGGAAAGAAGGAAAGATGAGAGGCTGGAGAGGTAATGCTGTTGGGATTTGGGTACATGGCTCATTTTGGATTTACTGGGTCTGCCATGTCTGAGGGAGTGTGGGAACTCAGTGTGACAGCCCAAGAGAATGTTTTATTGCTTCTACTTATTATTTTTTAAAAAGATTTATTTATTTGAGAGAGAGAGAGAGCATGAGCAGGAGGAGGGGCAGAGGGAGAGGGAGAAGCAGTCTCCCCACTGAGCAGGGAGTCTGAAGTGGGGACTTGATCCCAGGACCCTGGGATCATGATCTGAGCCAAAGGCACACATTTAACTGACTGAGCCACCCAGGCGCCTGCTACTACTATTATCGAGAATGTAAAATGGATCAGACACTCAGCTTGCATCTCATTCTGCTGGGAAGCCTTCCTTGTCCATCCCAACTCAGTGATACCTGTCCTCTATTCTCCAAACTCCTTTACAGGTCTATTCCCCTCATCTGGCACTTTACATTAAATCATAACAAACCACTGCTTAAAAACAAAGGTTTCCCAATTAGAACTTAATTCACACTTTTTAGCCTTATAAGGCCCTGTGTGATTTGACCCCAGACTAGTTCTCTGACTTCACTTCTTCCTGCTGCTGTCCTCATCCACTCCCCTTTAGCTGCACTGGCTTGCTCTCAAACTCACCAAGTTCATATCCATCTCAAGGCTTTGCACTCACTGTTCCCTCTGCTTAGAGGACTCTTCCCCCAGACATCCAGGGGCTACCAGACAGTAATATCTACAAGGGCAGAAGCTTTTGCTTCTGGTGTATTCACCATTGTATTCCAAGTGGCTTGAACAGTGCCTGGCCCATGGTGGGTGATCAATTGATAACTAAATGTTGGATGAAAAGTATAAATAATAGGCTGCTTTGCATTGCCTTTTTTTCCCCTCTGCTCCATCATTCCTTTTGTACCTACCCAATCCCCCAGTCGTAAGCATCCTGAGGACAGAAATCTGGTCTTAGGATTTGTTTCCCCCTCATCATTAGCCCAGTGCCCTGAGCACAGGTGCTTTAATAAGTGTTTGTTGACAGAATGAGACAGAATGGGGGAAAGAGTTCTTTCATGCCTTTCCCACCAGGCAGGCTCAGCTGGCTCCAAAGCAGAAAAAGAGTAACCCTTGTCCTCCCAGGGCTGCTCATGCTTGGGTTCAGCAAACTGGCCACCAGCCCCAGCCTCTGGAATGTCTGCTCCTATCACAGCAGAGCTGTTCTTCACTCAGAAATCTTTCTCACCACCACCACCATCACCTTCCGAGCTGCTTGGGCTCAGAGGAAGGGTCTCTGACTTCCTAGAACTGAACCAGCACATATCTAATCTCAGGAAAAAACAGGTTCTGCTAAAGTAACTGCTTGGCTTACAGAATGAGATCTTCTAGCAAGATTTATTAAAAGATCATGACTTTGGCTGCTATTATTTCAAAACCAGGCAGACATTTAGATGATAGAGTTAAATATTCCAAACTTACCTCATACTCCCTCCTTCTCTCCCTCTCTTTCAAGGGTGAGCATTCTGTTCCTCTTCCAAAACCCAGTCCTTCTCCATATTTGGGAATCTGGAATGGGCACTAGGGGCACAGCCCTGTCTCTTCTCGGTGTCTGCTGGGAGCTGTAGTTCCCAATGAGAGACGGCTGCTTTTTTCTGGCAAGTGGGTTGTCCTTCCTCAGGAGTCTACATCTATAAACATACAGTGTGGTGGAAGGGTGCTATTAGGAGGCTTGCCTTCTATTTTCAGCTCTTTGGTTTTATGCAAGGCACCACTCTTCTGTGGCTTGGTCTCCCTGCCTGCAAAATGGGGATAATTATCTCTCTCTTTTCCTGGCTGCCAGATTGTTGGGTGGGGTAATTAGCCAGCACCCATTAGATGCTTTGAGCCCATTCCAGTAAGGAGTGCTTTATAAATAAAAATTGTTATCTTTAAAGAAAAAAATATTAATTTTCATTGCCTAATTGCCTCCACAAACCAACTCTGCCTGTATGTCAAAAAGATGCTGTTTAATTCCTTGTATATGCCTTCCACCCACCCTGCTTTTAATGGTTTCCCTGCATCTCATTCTATTTTGTTTCATCATCTCTAGTTTCGTATCATCAAGAATAAATGCTCTCTCCCTTTCCTGTCTGAAAGCATAGGATGAGACAAACCAACTCTGCCCTACATCCAAAGCACAAGAAACCATGAAGAAGGAACAATTTGGACCTGATCTGAGCTCCCACAACTTTACATCTTCGCAACTGGCACATGCATGTGACCAAGAGGTTGGTCTCTGTGGAAGAGACTGACCTTTGTTCCCTCTGAAGAAGAAACCCATTTCACTGCAGCAGGAAGGATTTTTGAAAGATCTTACCAAGAGTGCCCTTCTCTGGAGATCTGAAAGATCATTTTGACACTCAGCACCTTTAGTCAGAGGAAAGCGACTGGCACAGCGTAGTGGAAAGAGCTGCAGGTTTAGAATCAAAATGGTTGGGTCCTGGCTCTGATTCAGGCAAATCATTTGACCTCTCTGGCTTTGGTTTCTTTAGCTATGAAATAGAGATAACAATATATGTTAGAGTGTTTTGTACAGCACTGTGCTGTACCTTGCACTAAGGTTAGTTGTTATAAAATGCAGGATGATGCAGTGATTAAACATGGAATGTTGGGGCGCCTGGGTGGTGAAGTCAATTAAGCGTCCAATTCTTGGTTTCAGCTCAGGTCATGATCTCAGGGTCCTGGGATTGAGCCCACCTCCCTGAACCCCGCAATTGAGCCACTGGTGTCAGGCTCCGCACTCAGTGGGGAGTCTGCTTGAGATTCTCTCTCTCCTTCTGCCCCTCCCACCCTTTAAAATAAAAAAAAAAATCTTTAAAAAAAACCCAGGGAATATTAAAGTCAGACACATTTGGATTAAAATCCCACCTGGATTTGTGTGGAAATTTGACCAAATCACTGCTCTCTAAATCTTAGTTATAGTATCTCTAAGATGGGGATAGTGAGGATTACATGAGACGATGCATGCAATGGACTGAGCACAGAGACTGGCGCACACTAATTTCTCAATATATGTAGTTGCAACTATTATTAATATATTATGTAAATGTAATTTTGACCATGCATTACTTTTGCATTGTGGACACTTGTCTCACTTTCAATCATCTTACTTTGTGATAATCAAATAAAGTAATGTAAAGATGCTTTTTAAAATCATAAAGTACTACACCAATGTGAGGGATGATTAGAATTAAACCCATAAGAAAGGGAGATGGACTCCTCAGAATTTTCCTTCCAGCTTCAGGATGATACAGGATTAAGGATGTACAAGTGCTTTTTAGCTACAAAGAGCTATAAACATGTGAATTGTTACTAGTAACAGCAGGATTATTTGTTTCTTGTTTTAGGTAGTGGGTAATAGCAATATCCCATTGAAAAATAAAAAGGACTCCTATGACATACTGTGAATGAGTAAGTCAGGTTACAGGGCAGCATGATTATATACTATGTGTATTTGTGGAAGGATATTCATCAAAATGTTAAAGGTTGGGACGCCTGGGTGGCTCAGTGGGTTAAGCGTCTGCCTTCAGCTCAGGTCATGATCCCAGGGTCCTGGGATGGAGCCCTGCATCGGGCTCCCTGCTCAGCG